GAGCGTTTGAATAGACAGAGCTAGCTCACAAGTAGAAGTGGTCAGTTCTGTTTTATAGTGCTTAACATGATCTGAAAATGCCTGAAAGTGTACAGTTAATCCCGTTTTCCTAAAAAGGCGTTCAAGTTGCCTGCCTTTTGCTTTCATAGCATGTAGCTCGTCGTTAAACCATGGAGAGGAGCAGGACATGGGAACTGACCTAGTCCCAATTGGAGCATGCTCGTCTAAAACATCGGCAATAGCAGAGTGATACAAATCAGATATCTTGGATGGACAGGTGCTGAGATCGAGTAGTAGAAGTATAGAAAGATTGCCCGAATCACCAGAAAGGAGTAGGTCATTTATAACCCTTACTAGAGCAGTTTCAGTACTGGGTTGTGAACGAAAACCTGGCTGAAACATACCAAAGAGTTAATTGTGAGCTAGAAATGACTGCAATTGAGCGGCAACAACCTTTTCCATGATTTTTGAAACAAACGGTAGGTTGGAGATTGGGCGATAATTAGTGTAATCAGTTGGGTCTAGATTTGGCTTTTTAAGAATAGGAGTAACAGCAGCAGTTTTAAGTGAAACTGGAACAGTGGCAGAAGTAAGAGACATGTTTACAAGATGTGAAATTGGAGCAGAAATGACAGAGGTGCAGTGTTTCAAAAGGAATGTTGGTGCAGGGTCAGCCCGGCAGGAAAAATAATTGGATTTCAATATTATTTGACTAATTAAGGTGTGATTACACAAGGAGAAGTTATCGAGCGTTTGAATACAGACTAAGTCAAGCGTATGACCATGAGTGTGAGTAGAGAAGTTAACATTCTGATAAAGATCGAAGCAGTCCAGAACAGTCGTTAGTTGAGTACTATTAAAACAGTGTGTATCAACATGGATGTTAAAGTCACATAGTAAGATGACCTGGGCTGATGATGCACAGGCAAGCGTTAATAGTTCACTGAGTTCAGAGAAAAAGTTGTTTTGCTGTTTGGGTGATCTATAAATCAAAATAATTGTGAGGGAACGATTTGAGCCAACCTTCAGAACTATGTATTAAAAAGTCTTAGTACAATGAAAATCCATCTGAGTGAGTGTTATAGAGGTATGACAGATGACCGCAAGGCCACCCCCTTTACCAGATACACGTGGCTTGGACAAGTACTGATATCCATTCGGTGTAAGCAGATTAAGATGGATGAAATCATCAGGTGTTTGCCAGGTCTCAGTAAGAAATAACATGTCCAAGTCGGTATCCGCAATTAGTTCGCAAATATAGCAATTTCCATCACACTACAATACTAATTTCTCACTAGAAATTATATCTAAAGTGGAAAAAGTTGGTTAAAAACCTACATCTACTTGTACACACAAACTGCTTAAACTGGTGTCCACTTTTTTTTCTTAGCTCAGCTTAAACATTGGTATTTTTGCTGCTTCATATTTTGCACCGTTTTGATCCTCATGATTGATCCAGAAATAAACATAAGAAACGAGTCCAGAAAGCTCATTTCAGTTTCAAACAGTCTATTACATTCAATTAAGTCTCTTTGTACAATTAATTTCTCTCAAATGTGTTGTTGATTTTAAACTGTTCATTTAATTATTTTAGCAATGCTTAATTTTAAAAGTGCACTTTAAAAATAAAAACGGCAGTGGTGCATAAGATTGAAAGAATATTTATATCACATTCATAAAGCAAGAAGATGCCTTAGAAGAAAACTTGGCATTTGTTTTTCTGCTGTTATGTTCAGATTTGTTCATTTCTCAGAAGCTTCTATTCAAACTTATGAGGATCATTACAAGCAATACCAGATACCAATGTGGTGGGATGACCTTTATAAGTCAGTAGTAAACAGGCGAAAGGGGCCATGAGGTGACTTTAAATCAACAGGCACATTTTTATTCAGACAGGTCAAAAATATTAAAACACTACATCACCAATCTTTGATGCAAATACCCACATGAGAAAAAAAGGAAAATAAAAATAAATAAGAAACAACAAAAAGAAAACCAACTATAGATGGCCACAGGTTACCTAGAAAGTGAAGACAGAAGTGGCACAAGAGCAAAAGTGTCCTCACAGCAGTCAAGCTCACAGCAATCACACTGCAAACCTACAGGAAAAACAAAGATAAAGTGATCAAACCACCACACAATCCCAGCTACCTCACCACCGCCATCCACACAGTGAGGGCAACTCAGTGGCCACCATTGGCTTAAGAAACCAAAACTGAACCTACAAAAGAAAAGAATAAACAACTTAATTAACAGTGGGCAATGCAGGTGACACAAACACAAGTCAGCATTGTAACACAGTCACTATTAAACCAGTTTCTTTGTGGCCTAATCTCTCCTCTGACACACTGGGTCCTAAATTCACAGACCAAAATAAATAAAAAACAATAACAAAAGTATTAAATCTAAAGTAAACGGTAACCGTGCATCCTAAAAGTGAAAACACAGTCTATTACAACAAATGAATATGAAGATATAAAAACACATAATTTAAATAAAATGCACTCACTATAAATACTACACAATTTAAAACATAAAAAGCTCCCTTTATATTAAACAATACCTCTAACATCCACTATTTTCAACTGGAACTGTCGGGTCTCGGGTCTGATCACCTGTTTCTTGTCTCTGTGTTTGTGTGTGGTTGTGCGTGGCTTGTTTTGACAGCTCGCCACGTGCGCATATGTCAGCATGATTGTTTCCCCCGCCCTCCTTGTTTCTCTGCTCGCCTCTTGTTTCACACCTGGTTCTGGTTAGCTCATTAGTTTCCCCTTATAGCTCCTCGTGTTTCTCTGTTTTTTGTCAGATTGTTGTGATTATTCCCTTGCTCTGACTGTCAGTGTTAGTATCGCTTACCAGTCCTGTCTTGTTTCATCCAGGCTCCAGTGCTCGTAGCTGCTTATTTATTTTCCCGCACCTCGCTGTGCGTTCAGGAACCCGTGGGCTTCCTCCGGCATCCGCCTACCCTGGGACTCTGCGGTCTCGTTGTTGGGCTGCTCAGCCTCTCACTCGGATTAGCGAGCTGCCCCTCCGGCTTCGTCTCCACCGCCGCTGTTGCGGCTTGTTCTAGCCCCTGCTGTCCACCCCTCTGTGTGGTTGGGGATTCCACGTCCGCACGAACTATCCGCGGAGGCGCTCATTGCCCGTGGTGTTAATTCTCTGTACAATAAAGTCTCTGTTGAACCCGCACCTGAATCCAGCCTATTCCCTGACAATGCTATCGAGCGGACAGAGCTCGCGTCGAGGGAGGTAAGACCCGCGGCAGCGGGCTTTGTGTTTACATCAATGATGCTTGGTGCCGCGATGCTGTTGTGGTCTGCAAACACTGCTCACCCCTGGTGGAGTTTAT